GCCCCGATCCCATCCCCGCAGCTCGGCGCTGCTGGACCCGCCCGGGGAGCCGCAGCTCGGGGGGCTGGAGCTGTGCAGCCTGGCAGAACCTGTTCCTCCAGGATGTGCGCATCCTGCTGGCCCCCCACCCCAGCAGCCGGCTGCAGCAGGAGTTTGGGGTTCCCTGGCAGGTCAGGGGCGCCGGTGCCTCGCCAGCCCGCGGGCAAAGGCGGCTCGGGAGGCAGCAGGGGCAGCCCAGAGCCTTTATTCCATCAAACCCCTGCTGCGGGCTGTGCCCTTCCTGCATGTGCGGGTCTGGCGGGCTGCCCTGGCAGGGCTGGCACTGCCCGGGGCGCTGGGCAGGGCTGCGGAGATAGCACAGCCGCTTATCGCGCTGATAAGGCTCCCGATCTCCTGGCAGCGGCTTCAGTGTCCAGGAACCTCGGAAACCTCGGAGATCCTCTCGACATGATTTTCTATTTGCAGGGGAAAGAATGAATCCGTGTCCCATTGTCCGTCCTTCAGGGGGTGCCCACCCTTCAGGGGGTGCCCACCCTTCAGGGGCTGTCCTGAGCAGCTGTGCCAGTGTCCCCAGCACAGCAGGGTGACACAGCTCCCTCCGTGCTGGCTGTGCAAGGGCAGCACAGCAGAGTCCTTGTGGGGAGCTGCTCCTCTTCCTCTGCTCCCTCCGGACATCCACGCCTGTCCTTTCCTCTCTCCCTATAAACAGAGTGAAAGGAGATGTGAGAGATGTGAATGCCTTAAAAACCCCTGATAATAGCTCAGAAATGGAAGTTCTCTTCAATAAAGGCCTGTGGAATCAAAGCACTGGGACTCAGGGGCTCATTTCCCAGCAGGCAGAAGCCCCAGCAGACTCCGGGGTGCCAAAGGGATGCCCAGGGATACTCAGGATCAGCCCAGCTCCAGATACGAGTGAGGCTGGTAACACTGGGGCACAACAGGAGGATTTTCCCTGCCTGGAAGATCCAGACTCACCAGCACACCCCTGGCACTGCCAGGGCTGCCCTGGTCCCTGTCCCGGTGCCCAGTGAGGGATCCATGGCAGGGGAGGGTGGGAAGGAGCCCGGGCTGCTGAGAGCAGGGGCAGGTCACAGAGGGGACTCCTGGAGCCACCCCACAGCATTTTGGGGCTGTGGTTTCAGCGCTGCTGGGCCACTGGTGTCACTGGGGTGCCCGGGGAGCACAGACTGGTCAGGGAGCAGAGGCAGCTCTGGCTCCCAGTGCCCACGTGGGCTCGGTGCCATGGCCAGGGGCTGTGCCAAGCCCAAGGATCCGGAACCACCCCCAGGCTGGAGCAGAGCAAGCACAAAACCACAAAACCCCAGAGGGAAAAATAAGCCCTTGGGTCAATATCTCACTGGGGCTGGGCCAGTGCTCCCAGTGCAGCGACCACAGGGGCTTCAGCCACTCCTGTTCTCCCACTGGGGCTGTCAGGAGTGGGCTCTGCCCAGCCTGAGGATCAGGGACAGCAGGAGAGGGAAGGAGAAGCATCCCTGGCATGGGAAGGACGCTGGGGACCATCAGAGCTGCTGCTCTGGGGGTGCTGGGGTGTGCAGGGTCACGACAGGAGGAATCTCACGGTCCCTGCCGTGGGCACACAGCTGGGAGGTTTCCTGTCCTTCTGGGCCTGGCTGGCTGCTCCTGCCTGTGCGTGAGGGACGTTGAAGCCACCACGTCCTGCCTGTCCCTTTGTCACCCTGAGCCAGCCTGATGGAGGTGGGGGATGCTGAAGGCACCTTGCACACAAGTA